TCCGCGCCGACCGCCTACTCGCCAACCACTGTACTAGATGAGAGAATTCCCCGCGCCCCGCACTCCGCGCCGACCGCCTACTCGCCAACCACTGTACTAGATAAGAGAGTGAAATTGGTATTTAAGTAGGAACATTTTTGGTAATAAACACGGATTGAATCCACTTTAATCAAGAGTTTTCATTTGCGATCCAGATCAAGAACCTGAACAATACAGTCCACCGAACAAGAGCTAGAACACCAACACTATTTCTACACACTGTTTACGTTTTGAAAGATAAGAGGTCATCCATTTATGGGCGATACCTCGTATGCCTGTTTCGTAGTGTGTTTAGTAATAAATTGTATTTTACGCGATCGTAGGCTTTGCTCATATAGCAAGAGGCCTACGGCATATTTTCTTTCGTTGAGTATATCTAGTATTTTTTGTGTGTATTTGTATACCGCAAGAATAGTAGAATGATGTTTCCGAAACTCGTGTTGATTTTCGTTAAATATTTTATGTTTTTCATAGAGTGGGTTTAATCTTGTACACATTGCCGTTTCAAATATTTTTGATGATGTCGGTAATAACGATATGGGCCTATAATTGTTAGGGTCTGGTTTACAACCTTTTTTAAGAATGAAACTATTTTTCAATTGGTCAACCGTGACCATGGGACCTGTAAAGGGCCCGAAACGTCGGTTTGTTTGAAAAAACAAATATACGCGATTTAAATCCGGAAAAATAGTTTCATTCCTATGTATAACAATCGCGAAAACCTAAGAACTCGATAACCTTTTTTAAATATTGGTCTTACAATTGAAGTTTTTAAAGCATCTGGACAGCAGCCTTCCAAAAAAGATTGATTTACGAGTAGTGAATAGGGTATTGTTAAGGTTTCAGCGCATTTTTTAATCAAGATTCCCCCGAATTTCGTCAATACCATAGCCACTTTTGTTTTTTAAGTTTTTTATTACATAGTTTACTTCACGAGGTTCTACGGGTTGTAGGTATAGTGAGTTTTCAACGTAGCTGTATGACTGTATGTGCTGGTCTAGATTTCTCAATATTTCCGGTTGATTTATTTTCGTTGCCTATTTGAGCAAAGTAATTATTGAAACTGTTAGAAACTGTTATGGGGTTTGATTCACAGATATTATGGACTTTTAATTGTGTATTTTGTTTTTTTAAACGTGGTTTGTTATTTATTTTGTTATTTATTATATGCCACATTGTTTTCATTTTATTGTTAGATTGATTGAACTCTGTTATATTTTGTAGTTTTTTTGCCTTATGAACTGTTTTTTTTTATATTTTTTCGTATGCTTTATAATTAGAATTCAAAATTTCATTATTAATTTTAGATAAAAATATTTTTTCTAGTCTCTTGTTTCTACAAGACGTTTTAATTCCTTTTGTCAACCGTGAAGTTTTTCTTTTTTCACGTATTTTTATAAGTTTTTTGGGTATATATTTATCCAAATTTAATTTTAAAGCTTCTATGAAATTATTGTAATTTTCATTTATATTTTTTCCGGTTTGTATAATATCGTGCCAGTTAATTAATCGTATTGCATTTTTGAAGTTATTCATGTTTTGTTCGCTAAATATTCTTTTTGTTACTGTCAGGTATTTTAAACCTGGTGAATTTACTTGTAATGATAAGAAGAGGCCTTTATGGTCGGAGAAACCGTATTCTTCGACGGATGTCTCTAAGGACTGACTTTTTAAGTTTGAAAATATTAAGTCTAAACAGGACGATGTCGTGTGTGTGACTCGACTTGGTTCTTCTACGTTTTGTTTAAAGCTTGATGATAGCATCAGATTGGAGAGTAGTCTTTTTCTTTTTCTTTTCAAATTAGTTGTTGGTAAGTAGTCTGTGTTAAAATCTCCACCCAATATTATAGACTTAGTTTTATCTTTTGTTTCTAATATTTGCAATAACGTGCCAAGTTGATTATAAAAAGTTTTCTATCACTATCACTGTTGGGCCAGTACAATACTATTAATAATACATTAATGTAGGGAATCTCAATTCCACAAATTTCAAAAACTGTATCTATGGCTAAATTGTTAATATCTCCACGTTCCATGCTTTCAATGAAGTTCTTCAAAAGAATACATGCACCTCCTCCTTCCTGGATTTGTCTACAGTACGATGTCGCTATATAGTATCCACTAATTTGTAGGTATTTTAGTTTTTCTTTATCAAGCCATGTTTCAGTGATGCATATGGCACTCGTTTGTGGTTTAACATCCAAAAGATCTTCCAGGAGGTGTGTTTTCGGTAGTAAGCTGCGGATGTTCTGGTAAATAAAGTTAAAAGTCTCGAAAATTACTTTCAAATAGACCTTGATCTAATTGCTGTAGTTGTTCATTAGATGATTGCTTCTGAACGTGGTTTTGGTGAGGTTGAATTTTGTTATTTTTTTGTGTGGATTGTAATTCGTGTATATTTATTTTCTTTCCATCTATCACGAGTGTGTTATTATGGATCATTGCATGTTTCCCATTTCTGCGGGCGGATAATAGAGCGGCGCGAAGTAGATGTCGCTCACGTAGAGATTGTTCGTGTAGGAGTTTTGAGACCGCAAGACCCGTATTTTAAAATAGCCTGCGTTTTTCAGTATATAGTTGGTGAGCCTTTTCGAAATGAGTTCAATGCGGACAAGTCTCCTGAGGCTTTTCGTTCCGATGCGAGATATGTCCTCGATGTAGCCGGTGAGATCAATATTCAGAATGTCTTGTACGGCATAAATTACGCGGTCGTAAGTTTCCTCTTCAGTTTCCCATTGGTTCTCTATAAGTCCATGTAGTATTTCAGATTATAGTGTTTTTGTTTCAGTTGTAACGGACAAGCATTGGTGGTTTAGCTTCTGAATTTTTTTATTTAGTAATTGTATTTCTTCTTGGAATTCAGCGTGTTTATTTGTTTCAATGCTTTGTTTAATCTCGATTTTTAATTCGGCTAAAACGTCCTGTATTTCATTTTGTATTATGCCTTTAAGTTCTGAAATTAGGGATTTGTGGTTTTCCTGTAGCAGTTGTCTAATGCCAGACAGTGTTAAATTATCTTCCTTGTCCTCTGCGGGGGTGACAGAAGTATTTTGTAAAGTATATAAGTATTAAGTATAGTCATATTTATTTTTGCAAAAGGCACAGGTTAGAAATTCTCTTCCTGGTATTGTTTGAGGCATTCTGCGCACTTAAATACCATTTTTTGGGAGTAAATGGAAAATATCTAAAATAAAATTCAGCTCCCCCTGGTGAGTAGTAGCGAAAGTAATAGTACTGATAGATTACTATGGTGGGATGATGGATTGTACGTGAGTTAATAATCGATAATTTCCATAGATGGCATTATTGGTCAAAATCTGCTATATTTTGTATCGTATTTCGGTGACGTACTATAACGTAATATTTGTTTCAAATCACAGTTTTAGGTTATGTGGATTACCAAATTGAAAGAATGTACCTGTTTATCGCACGAAAATTTCAGGTTTCTTCTAGAGTTGTTTTTCTTGAAGACTAGTGTTTGTTGTTTTGGTTAGGCACTGGTGTTAATCCGGAATTTAAGGTAAGTTGCTTATGTTGTTCTTTTCTTCGTTTAAGTTAGATTAACGCACTGATTTAAGTCCACTTTTACTTAAATAACTATGGTATGTGTATATGTTAAAAGATCACTACAAATATTTGTGAAAAAGTAATATTTGAATTTATTTAAAACAAAATATCGCGGAGCCAAAGTTTACTCACGTTTAACTTTAATCACGAATTACAACATTAAATATAAAATGATAAAATTGAAGTTGTATAATTTTAAAATTGAAAAATTTATGCGGACGATGCCCAAATCTATAGTCACACGAGTCCACCGGATTTGAAACTGTCTCTTTCCAGAATCAACTCTGACCTTGATAGTATTGCCCGATGGTCTAATCGTAATGCTTTGGTATTGAATGAAACCACACGGTCCTAGGATTAGTATTATTGGACCATCGGACGAATTTGTAAACCAGGCGAAAAATTTAAGTGTTACTATGGACAGCTGGTATGTATAGACTATTGCTAGATCTTGCTTCTTTGGACTAAAAATCTCCATCATGGACTAAAAGTCATTTGCTCAGTGAAGATATTGGACTTCAAATGTGTAAATCTCTTATTTTATTAACCGACTTCATAAAAAGGAGGAGGTTGTCAATTCGACTGTATGTTTTTTTTTGGATGCATGTTTCGCGATAACTCCGGTATTTGTGAACCGATTTCATGATTCTTTTTTTATTAGAAAGAGGGTACCTCCATAGCGGTCCCATTTAATTTTGAAGAAATCATCCACCTCTAAGGGTGGCTGTTCACGCATGAAGATTCATTTTTATAAATAGCGCCAAAATTTTACTACAAGGAGCAATTATTTTAATAGTTGATTTTGCTATACTCCAATTCAAGGCGTTTTTCTATCTCAATATACTTTGAGTAGTGAGAACCGATTTTTATTATCTCCTGTGTCAAGTCCCGTATAGTGGCGAACTAGGGGATGAATTCGGGTTTGTGCGCTTACCGACAACCGATTTCAATAAAACTTGTTATATGTAATACCACGTACTTTTGAGGTCGGTTTTTTTAGTACTCTGTACTGAGATTATCAAAATTGAATTACGCGGATGTAGTTTTCGGACCCTGTCATCTCTCTACATCAAAAAAATACAACCGTGTTCAAAACGCTTGCATACGATTCTGTTATAAAGTTTCATCGAGAAGTCACATAACACCTGTGATAAACCTACAATGTATTCCTAATATGGAATGGAGAAGGAGTTTGCATTTTTCTGTATTGATGCACTTCGTTGTCAGATAAAAAAATCCACCTTATCTATATTCCAAGTTAAAATGGCATACATATTCGTATAATTCACGCAGGGTAGAACCTTTTTATTGTTAACACCATTTCACAAAACAAGAACCTTTGAGGGTAGCTTCCGGTATCAGGCATCTAAATGCTGGAAGAATCTGTCTCCTCCATTTAGCCAGTTAATCTCAATATCTGTATTCAAAAGACATATGAAAAATCTGTTGATGGAAAACCAGCATAGCTACTCGTACTTATCTTATTCTTACTTATTTATATTTAGGTATATTTTTTACTTTTAAGTTTTTATATAATAATTTACATAATAACACACACACTATCGCATGTGTATCGTAAATGTGTAATGTGGCATACAACATAGGATACACACAACATATTGTACCATTTCCTCGGCACTCAGTTGACGCTGAAACAGGAACGACTGAAAATCAGCGTCTGTGTCGCCAGAGATAGACATATTGCTGTCATATCCTTTTCTTATTAAGCCACTACGCACACTTACCTAAGAACCTAAAATTACTCAGTCACTTGTTATTTTAGTTTTAAGAACTAGATTTAAGTGTGTATAGTGTCTCGATTTAAGGAATAAACGTTTTTCTTTCTTCTTTCTTTCTTTCGAGGTAGGACAAGAGACAGTTGTTAAATACACGTTCCATAATCTAGCAGAGATAGAAGTGATCGTCTGTATGATTATCACTAATTTCAGGTTTCTCAACGCGGTATGACTTCTTTTTATTTTCCCGATATTTCGAAACGGTTGCACGCTCCATGGTCACGGGTTGACTGGACGGCGGCAGACAACAGCTTTAAGAGCAGACATACTGTCTACCCTCTTGCGCTGTCGACGACTACCTTCATCGCGATTTGTTGTGGCGTTACCATTGTCACTCACTTTTTTCACACAAACCACACTCATTGTATCCACACGCGAAACTGAACTCGAGGTGTTTTTGTTTTTATTACTGCACGCACTAAGGACCGGATTCCATGCACTGGACAGTTTAAAACCATCATCACGGTTAAATGTTTTGTACTTCGTGATCTCGATGGCTTCTCGTACCAACCGTGGTATGTAGTAACGTTCTGTCGAGAGTACCTAGGGGCTATGCAACTCGATCCAGTGGTTAGTGTCAGTCTGTGTGAGATGTTGTGCTATAGCCGACTTCTGTGCATCGTTGTTTATTACTGCTCGGATGTGTTCCTTCATACGATCGACAATTGTTAGTTAGTTTGTTATTGTTTTGTAAGAAACCTGATATTAGTGATAATCATTTAGTGAATAACCACGAAAGTCTTAAAATCTATGTGACCCTCTGTGTTCCTTTTATTGGCACAGGTTGCACGTTTGCAAGCTTCCACGACTTGGGAACTACGCCAGTCTCAAGTGAGAGGCGACACAGGCGTGTGAGAACAGGAGACAACTCAAACGCACAATTACACAGAACTGTTGCTGGTATCCCATCTAGCCTGCTAGCTTTATTCGCGTTTACACTCCGCAGAGTTTACGAGTACCTCTTTTGGTGTTTGTATGCGAACTGACATACGCCATAGTGCACCCACCTGAGGTAATTTATTTTTTTCCATCCTCTAAGGGTAAAGAATTGTCTACAAAGTGTGAGGCGAAAAGATTTACCTTCTCTTCCGCAGTACGGACCAGCGAGCCGTCAGTTCACGTCATAAAAACTTAAAACTACAACAAAGCAAACTGAACTGTAGTGGACTGTTCCAGAGTGTGCATGCGGAGGCATACTTTGATGAATAATTCAGGTGCACAAATGACATTTGATCGAAATTCACTTTCCCATTTCCGCGCGTTCATGAGTGCGTGTGTTCCGCACCGACGCGTCCCCGGCAGGCACCCGTTGGCGTTGGTGTAAGAATAATTCCTACGCGTTTAGATAACAATTCAGTAAGGGGACGATACGAGAAAGTCCGAAGGCAATGGTGGATACGTAGATACCCACCCGTACATGACCGCTTGCTTAATGACAGGCGGCGCGGAGAACGCTGAAACGAAGAAGGGTGCTGAGGCGGAACTGGAAGGAGTGCGAGTGTCGGTCGTGCGGTGTCGGCGCTGGTGCGAGCCCGTGCCTCCACCGCCAGTCGCCGACTGCTGTCCGCGCCATGCGCTCGCATACTCCGCGCCCACACCGCGGACACCTCCCGCAACCGCCGCCTTGCATCATGGTCAGTACACATTTTTTCTGCCTGTCTGAGAAAATCCCCGGTCTGGAGGATACATAATAATATAACGGGTGGGGTCGGGCTCGGCCCGCGGCGCGTGGCCGTGTTAGATTACGGGATGTACTTATGCTTTTCGGTGGCATAGCGGTTAGTACTATGGGCACTTGATAAGGAGGCTCCGAATTCGATTCCCGATTTGGGCCAATTTAGGAAACGAACATTTCTAAGTTGGTTGTGATCTGGGTATTCTGACTATTGCCCTCAGAGTTATCGTTATTCTGGTATTCATAGTACAGGAAATCTCTAATTTGAAATCAGAAACTTGGTGTGATTGTCTGGCATTTTTCCCCTAAAATACTTCTCTATGGCATAACTTCCAAAACTTTTTTTAATCTAAAAGAGAGACGATCGAGATACGACAACGCTATAAGTATGTATCTCTTTTCCAATACATCGGGAAGTATGCCTCACATTTCTAATCAGTTGTGAGATCTTGTACTCGTTATAGAGCCTCCGTATACAACCTACGTCTACGTACAGCGGCGTGCGGACGGCCTACGGCCTCGGCATTTGACTTTATTTTTAAAATGAAAATAGCTCTGTAATGGCGGCCATATTTAAAGGTAGCAAAAATATTATTGTGGCCACAAATTATTGTCGACAATCCTAGAAATCTCGTCGTGCCAATTTTCATCCCGATCAAAGCAGGTTTTTTCAACGGCTACAATTATAACTTTTTTATGAAAAAAAAACTGACCTCGAAACTTTGTAGAATTTCATATATACGCCAAGTTTCATTGAATTCGGTTACCCGAAAGTGGGCGAAACGTGTTCTTCAAATGTAAATGGGACTAATACTGAAGTACGCTCTTTCAACAAAAAAAGAATCATCGAAATCGGTTCACAAATGCCATACTCCTTTTTTGAAGTCGGTTTAAAAAGTACGCTTGTACGGTGACTATGTCGAAAAACGGTGGAAACAAAATGTTTACTCCAAATCATGATTAAAGCCGTTTCCAGTCGAAATAGAACAATTTTTTATCTACGGCCAAAAAAGTTTTTATGGCAGCAATATAGAAAAACGGCAAAAAATTAATTTTTACTGCAAATTATTATGAAACGCCGACGTACGTAATTTTCAGTCGAATTAGAGCAAATTTTTATCTGCCGCCAAGAAACGCTTGTCTGGCGGTCATATTGAAAAATAGTGAAAAACCAATTTTGGTCACTCATTATGGTTATGGAGTCCTAAAGACCAAATGCCTGTCTTTAATATCTAAGTTGGAAAATGAGTACAGTACCAAACCCGCATTGGGCTAACGTGGCGTTTTGTGGCCGAAACCTTCGATAGAGGAGACGCGTGTCTAGCAGTGGGCTGCGTAATGGGCGATTGCGGTGATTTTTTTATTTAATGAAATACTGCTGATGAGATCTTGCTATTTCAGAAGGCAGTGATGCTGTTGGTCGCGTGGGCGGCGTGCAGCGCGGGTGAGCCGCTGAGCGCGGCGCTGCAGCGACGCAGCTCGCGACCCGGCGTGTACGCGGACACGTTTTCACGCGGTTACCGGCCCTTCGCGTTCGTGGCCGTGCCGCTGCACGCGCCAGTGCCCGTCCTGCACGTGCTGTACCCCGCGCCCGCACCGCCGTCGCGGGCGAGGCCGCCGGCCGGCAACGCCGCTGCGAGCCCGCTGGCGGCGCAGCCGTCGCAACTAGCGCCGGTGTACGCGGCGGCCATGCCGCACGGGTGGTTCGCGCCGGCGCTGAAGCTGCCGCCCGCGCCGACGCCCGCGGCGCCGCCGCCGCAGGAGACAGCGCTCGAGGTGCTGTACGCGCGGCCCACGGCGCAAGGAGGCTACGAGTACAGCCGTCGGCGCACGCGCCGGCCGGCTGGCTCCCGCCCGCGACGCCCTCCGCCGCCGCGGCCCCTCCTCATTCGCGTGCACAAGTACCGCGTGGTGCGCGACCGCTGACGCTCGGGACGGCGAGGTGTTTGTCCTCTGTCATGCCTGATGGAACCGAGTCATAGCAAGTCAGTGAGACTTGTGCATATTGTTAACGCCTTCTAGTAGTGCCTCGTAATTCAAGTAGAAACGATAGTTACAGTCAGCGTCACACTGACACGAAAAGTTTTAGAACTTAATCCGTTTGTACACTCCGATCGTAGTGTAAATGAAATCGCCCACTCGGGTTTGTACAGACGTCGGCACATCATATAGCTCGATGTACATTGACAGATCTCGTTGCGTTACTTGATGTGCTGTTGACTGTACATGAGTATTTTTGGTTATCATTTTGTTTTGCGCTGTTAGTTAAAAGTATGTTCCTGTACGTAACCTAAAAGTAGACATATAAAAATAATTGCAATCTGCCCTTGTATACTTGGACTTCGAACTTATTTGAAGATTGTCAATAGCGTATTGTCATAATAATACTTCTTATTATAACTTCTTATAATTAAAACCGACTACAAAAGTTCGTGGAATTACATCTATTTGCCAAGTTTTGTAGAAATCGATTACCGGAAAGTGCGTAAAACTGGATTAATTCCCTGGTTTGCCACCCTTAGAGGTGGAATATTTTCTTCAAACTTAAGTGAGACCAACACTAAGGTGTAGTTGGCGAAATGTTATTTGCACCGATTGGTCTTATCGCTTCATATTTACAGTACAATAGGACAAACGATTGAACGTCTCGATAACGCACGGGCCGTCTGTACAGTGCAAACAAATAGTTTAACTACTTTTACGCATTGGCACTTAATTCTAAACTTGATAATCTTTATGCGGAAATAAGTTGTAGAATTAGTAAGAAAAGAGTCGGCAGTCGGCACTTTACGAAATATCTAGGTACTGTTAAAAAAACAACTTGTTGAGTAAAATAATAATTCAAAACTAGAATTCAGAAAAAGCATTTAGTGCACGTGACTCGTACATTGCGCTTGGGACCAAGATCAATGAATGAGAAAGATATGGTAATGGTATTAATACCCTTTTTAACCGACTTCAAAAAAGGAGGAGGTTCTCAATTCGCGTTATGTTACGCGATAACTCCGGTATTTGTGAACTGATTTTCATGACTCTTTTTATTGAAAAGAGGGTACCTCCATAGTGATCCCATTTAATTTTGAAGAAAATCATCTACCTCTAAGAGTGGTATAAATAGCGCAAAAATTTTACTATAAGGAGCAATTATTTTAATGGTTGTTTTGCCATTCTCCAATTCAAGGCGTTATTCTCTCGATATACTTTGAGTAGTGAGAACCGATTTTTATTATCTCCTGTGTTAAGTCCCGTATAGTGGCGAACTAGGTGATGAATCCAGGTTTGCGCAATTTCCGGTAACCGATTTCAATAAAACTTGGTAATTATAGATATGTAATTCCACATGGTTTTGAGGTCGGTTTTTTTAGTACTCTGTACTGAGATTATGTAGAAAGAATAAGTTCCAAGAGATAACATTCATCGATGCAAATAATATTTCTTCGACCATAGGTACCCTATTTCTAACAAAAAAAATCATCAGAAAAAGGCCTGCAGTTTGCAAGCAAACTGTCAAGTTACGAAAACAAAAGTGTGCCTAGCTAAGGAAGAGCAGCGGGCTCTCACTCTCACCCGATACGAAATTAGTACTAATCAGAATTTCATCAAGCACGTGTAAAAAGTGTTAAGGCCCGTGAGCACGGCTGAGCCAGCTCACGATTGAACTTGCCACGCTGTACCATGTCATTGCGGTACTTATATGTACATGCAGGGTGTCCTGCAAGGTGTGGATTTGACATTCTAGGACACAATCGTGTCCATGTTAGTAGAGATGTAATTAGCAGTAGATAGGTAATACACATAAACAAGATCGCACTTGCGTAGATAGGTATATACGTACATAAGCAATACATTTGTGACGAATTATTCGACGTTAAGCATTCGCGTAACAACTTCCCTGGTTAATATTGAACGGATTAAATCGGGCGAGTAACCGCGCCGAATGCGCCATTTAATCGAATTCGTCGAATTACAATTAATCGTGAGACGGAAGCCGCGGCGCCGCGCCTGCCTCACGCGACTGTTAACGCGACGCGGCTCTACTTGCATGTCTAACAAATCGTAAAACAAAGGCAAGCGTTAAATATAATCAGATTGTTCTTAAAGCTAATTATAACACAAATCAGCTAACCAATTCACTCTTCACCCGAATGCAGATTCCGCCGAATAAGTCCATAGAAAATGTTCTTCCTTTTTTTGTATTATGTAGTCGCTCAACTAATTTTTTATAGTTTTATTTTTAGAACCATATTTTGTATCTAACCGAGCAATAAATTTTGTTTCCTATTACACTGTTATTTGAATTTCAAATGGGTGATTTTACATTTTATAATTAACTGCCCGTTGGTCTGCCCCGCAGAGGTCCCAGGTTCGATTCCCGGGCCCGGAGAAATATTTGTAAGATCTACGTATGTACGTACTTGCGTTTGTCCCAAAGGAGACCTCCACTGTGCAGCTGGCCGAAAGTGTTCGGGGATTTCACATTACGACGTTGGTGGCCCAACGACTTGCCCGTGGGCGTTGGACAAGGACTTTTCTAAATTTGTTTCTGGTTCGGTGGCCCGAAATGAATTCCGTTGCTTTTTTACTCGTGGTGCAGGGAATGCCCTAGTTTGAGACCTTCATTCGCACCAATCGTCCGATTGTAAAACACATTACTATTATTATTAGTTCCAATATTAGTGACGTGAATCTTCTCCGAAGACGTTTTACGAGTCCCGCAGACCGCAGACCAGACTTTTAGTCGGCCGATAGTTTAGTTGGATTGGGCTGCTAGCGCGCACACTAGGCCGACTAAACAGTCAGGTTGGTGGGTTAGTGGCGAGCGTGCAGACTAGCAAACCGTCGACCGATTTCACTCGAAAAATTTTGCTAGTTATTAAGCTGCTCTTGAAGGGAGCGGTTGCGGAAGGAAATAGTCTAGAAATGTTATTATTGCTTTTATACAACGGAGGAAAAGGATCAAGAAAAGAAACCTATATATTGTAATATATTGGGTGCATCCCATCTACAGTGATAGATTATTACAAGGAAAATATTACATGATGCATTACAAATTATTAAACGTTCCAAAAAAAACTTTTTGCCTTTTTCGAATGAGCATAACACGACCGGTCGCCGCGTCCTCGAGCACCCGCTCCGCGGCCTCCTTTTGCGACATAACCTCTGCGCAAAAGGAGGCCACCGCCTCCCAGGACTCCTCGCTATCGAGCATGGCGGCAACCACGCTCGGCAGCGAGAGGTCCTGCCCTATAGTCCCCGTCAGAGTGCGGCGCTGCTCATCCCACCGGCTACACACCTCTAAGGAGTGCTGCGCGGTGTCATCCACAGCGCCGCACTCGTGCCACGACGGGGACGGTTCCCTCCTCGCCACCTTGTGCAGGTAGTGACCGAAGCAGCCGTGCCCGGTCAGCACCTACACAAGGTGGTACGACAGTGGGATCGGTTTACCCACTCTACGAGGACAGGGCGGATCGCCTCTATGGTACGAGCGTCATAGGGGGGATCCGTCAAGCCCTCTTTCCTCCGGTCCCGCATGCGATGCGCCGCGACGACCGGCCTGCGCTGTCGCTCCGAGTGAAGTGAAGCTATCGCCCAAGTCGGCCGACTAAACGATCGGCAAATGTGCGCAGTTGGAAGAGCGCCGCGCCGCCGCCGTACTGATTAGCAGTTTACCGATAGTTTGCCGACAGAAAAGTTTGAAGGCAACCGGGTAGCCCATCAAACTTTTTTAACGGCCGATACCGAATCGTTATAATGTGCGCACTTACATATGTTATACTGGAAAAAATTGACATGAAAGAACAAAAACTCCATGATGCATACAAAATATTGGTAACCAAAAATAAATTGGAATTATTCTTGGAAGATCAGATTTGGCCAGAAGGTATTACATTTCGGCGATTTATATACTTTGGAAATAGACATAATAACAAAAACCAACATGGATCAAGTTCTAACAAAAGAATTAACTAGTAGTTTTGAACTTTTAATTCTAAGTCTCTAGCACGTTCTTTAGACTACGTGAGGACCTTATGTAAGCACCCCGATGTGGTGTCTCAGCAGGAGACGTGGCTGTTCCAACACCGATATATCATTACTCAGCACTATTGATCCCAATTTTGGATGTACGGGTACATCCGCTATCGATGCGCCAGTAGGCATCGTATGAGGTCGACCCTATGGCGGTGAAGCGTTATTGTGGAGGAAAAGTGTTTAATTCAGTGACAATCATTCCATGCAGTAGTGTGCGTCTTGCGGCGATTAGAGTTAGTGTGTGTGATCGCTCTTTTCTAATTTTTACGGTATAAGGTACCTAAGGGTAATAAGGCCTGTCGGATTATAAGGCCTAAGGAACAGAAATCGTACTAATATTGTATTTACACACTCAAACGCCACACGCACAGATACATTACGTGCGCACACGTTGTTATAAGCTCGAGGCCACACTTCATCCCGCTCCGCGCCGTCAGTGCCGTGTCTAATTCTATGTTGGGAGGTCGCGCCGCTCGAATAGTAAAAAATCACACTAGACAATTGTAAGTATTTTTTGTTATATTACAGTTAGCTAATCGAATTTGTGTTCTATTTCTAGTTTATTTAACCCTTATGGTGGTCTCGAATCTTGTAGGTAATGTAACCTTAATGTATTTAAATATATTTCTTTTTCTTACGTATACGGCTGGAGGTTATTAAGGCCTATCAAAAATTTCCATAGGCCTTATTATCTTCTAACTTTTATTTAGTGATTTATTAGATTATTTTATGACTGTATCTTATCCTCCTTTCAAGATCTTTTGTAGATATGTAAGATTATAACGAATAAGCTAACAGTGGATATTTTATTTTCAGTGAATACGACCATAATGCCTCCCAAACGGGCATTATGGTCTGAAGAAGACCTGGTGTCAGCAGTTCGAGCTGTTCAAATGGGAATTCTGGGTACGTATAAAGCTGCTGAGAGATATAAGGTCCCAAGAAGAACCATCAGGAATCATCTCAATACTGGCAGTTTGAGAAAATTACTGGGTCGGAAAACCATACTGAACGAAAAACAGGAAGATGATCTGGTGAAGAGGATTATCAGGTTTTCTGAAATAGGATTGCCCGTCATACCACGCATACTTCGTCGCTTGGTCTACAAATTTTGTGAGGCTAATAACATAAAGCACAGTTTCAATGAAAACACTAAACTCGCTGGCAAGGACTGGTTTAAAGCTTTCATGAAAAGACACCCTAATTTATCTAAAAGAAAAGCTCAGTTTATGAACCCGGCGCGGGCACAAAAACTCAACAAGTTCATTGTTGATGACCATTTCTCAAAAATAAAAGCAGTTTATGACGATTTGGACCTGAAAAATCATCCTAAACGAATCTACAACATGGATGAAAAAGGTTGTCGATTAACGATCCACCACCAACAAACTGTTTTGGCTCAGAAAGGGGCAAAACGAGTGCATTTGCAGTCTTCGGAACACGCAGAAAGCGTCACGATTGCGGGATGTGTAAATGCGCTCGGTACTGCCATACCTCCAATGGTGATATTTAAAGGGAAAAGGCTGAAGCCGGAATTATACGATAATTTACCACCGGGAACTTTAATAGAAAAATCAGCTAAGGGTTATATGACAAATGATCTTTTCAAGGAATTTTTGAAACACTTAGCCAGATACAAAAGTGCTGGAAAGTGTCTTTTGATTTTTGATGGAGCAGCCTGTCATTTAGATCTGAGTATCGTCGACGTCGCAGATTCATTCGACATATCCTTATACTGTCTGCCATCGAACACAACACATGAACTTCAGCCGCTTGACAAAGCAGTTTACCGTTCATTTGAACATCACTGGGATGCTGAAGTCTTATGTTTCTTGGATCAAAATCCAGACAAGAAGCTAACCAAGGCGCGATTTAATGTCATACTTTCTAATGTCTGGTCCAAATGCATGACACATAGTAACATAACCAGTGGCTTTAGAGCCACTGGTCTGTTTCCTTTGAATCCTGAAGCAATTCCGGAAACTGCTTTTGCTCCGTCGGTATTAACACAAGTTCCAGCACCGATGGTACCAGAAAATCAAGAAAACTCGCACCCGAATTCTCCCAGGCCATCGACTTCAACAAGTTTTCAAAAAAATTTAGATTTCAGCAATAAAACGCCTGTTAAAAGAAGTGAGACGTCTGCTACAACATCTGATGCAATAGAGCTGACGCCAGCCAGGCCTACCGGAAGGGACCTTCACCGTTTGGTTTGTTTTTCAGATTCGGACGATGAAGACGATGTGCCGCTCTCTCTGCTGAACAAAAAAACGCCTTTTTACCAACTTATGCCAACACCATTGAAGATTACACAAAAAACACCGACGACGACGATTCGAAAAAAAGCAATTAATTACAGAGGGACACCGATTACAAAAGATATTTTTGAAAATAATAAAAAGAAAGCGAAGAAAACTGAAGCAAAAAAGAAGAATGATATCTCGCAGCAGGAAAGAGGGTGGTACTGCCATGCTTGCGAAGAAGATAAGATGGCTGACATGCGAAAATGCGAAAAATGTGGAAAATGGTTCCATGAAAAATGTGTTGGTTTGTCGGTTGATGATACCGACACATTTGAGTGTCCTGATGGCTGCAACTAAATTGATCGGTATCAGTCTGCTTGACCAGCAAATCCATCTAATTTTCTATAGTATTTAATGTTAAATTACTTCATTTACCTGATTATGGATCTCAAATACCAAATATTGTTAGTTATTATAAATATTTAAGACTGCTGAAGTAATAGGCCTAATTTCCCTGCCATAGTAAATTAAGGCCTATAAGTAAAGTTTTTAAAAAGTTTTAATCCTGTTTTTATTTATGGCAGAAGTTGTTATTTTATGTTATTATTTTATAGTCCTTAATATAAATGACTGATTAGAAATTCAACCTGTTGATTAACGACTACATTTTTCATTTTATTTGAAATCTCCCTTAGCTAGGCCTTAATACCCTCCGGTACCTTATATGCCAGTGAATGTAAGTGATAATTTGATGGAATTTACAGACGTACTTAGCGAATTAAGTGCAATAAGGTGCATAATAAGATGAGGTTGCATCCGTGTTTATTTTAGGAGACTTTAATGCCAATCCCGGTGATTTATTCGGTAGAGAACTGCTAAAGTTTTGTAATGAGCAAAGCTGGATTTGTGCAGACATAAGAAAATTAGGGATAGGCAATGACACTTTCACATTTATTAGTGACACACATGACAGCTTGAGTTAGCTAGACCATTGCGTAGTAACCATGTAGTAACGGAGGCTGCATGGCGGTCGGTGGTAGATGTGAGGGTTCATTATGACTGTACATGGTCTGATCATATGCCTCTAGAAATAAAGATTAAGTATTTTGAAGTCTCGGCGTGTTTTGGCGTTGTTTTAATAGAGTTGTATGGGGAGAAAGAAATGGGGAACAAATGCAATGAAAAAATGGTATTCTAAATTATGTAATGATCAGTTCCGCCAAATTAATTTTCCGTCGGAGCTGTCACAGAGCTGTGATGATATATGGCATAACGTAGAGCATCGTTTAGTTATAGATAAATTATATAAAGATACGAGCCCTATACTCTGTTACTCATAGTACAGGAAATTCCCCAATTTGAGACCAGAAATTTGGAGTGATTGTCTGGCATTTTTTCCCTAAATACTACAATAAATAGATTTGGCATATCTTCCAAGAAAAAAGAATCTAACAGAGAGACGGTCGAGATACAACAACGCTATAAGTATCCTATTTCCACTACATCGGGAAGTATGCCTTACATATAGAAAAAAAAAAAAAAAAAAAAAAATTGTGAAATCCTGACTCGTAATTTAGTCTCCGTATACTATCTACGTAAGGTGGCGTGCGGACGTTTCGGGCTACGCCCTGCGTTAAACCTCGGCCGACGGCCTCGGCACTTATGACTTTGAAATAAATTAACACAATGACGGCCATATTGACAAATGGCAAAAAGTAAATTTTGACTACAAATTATTGTTAAACACCCATAAAGAACCCCACATGCCGATTTTCAGTAGAATAAGAGCAAATTTTTATCATCCGCTAGAAAAGTTTGTATGGCAGCCATATTGAAAAATGGCGAAATAAAAATGTTGACCGCAAATTATTATTAAATACCCATAGCGACCCCCACATGTCGATTTTCAAAGGGATCAGAAAACTTTTTTCTACTGCCAACAAACGCTTGTATGGCGGCCATATTTGAAAATGACGAAAAACCAATTTTGAGCACAAATTAATATCTGGCGCTTCTAGAAACCTCCACATGCCAACGTTTAGCTGAAACAGAGCGAGTCTCTTTCAACAAACGCTTAATTGGCAGCCATATTAAAAAATGGCGATAAAAAACTTTTGACCCCAAATTATGATTAAGGACTCCTAAAGACCCCCGCATACCAATTTTCAGCCGCATCGAAGCAAGTTTTTCTTCGGCCGCCATTTTGGATTCGCCACCTTGAATTTTTTTTATACAGGGAATTGACCGCAGTTACCCTCTGACATTCCTTCCAGCACCTTCCACCTTTGTGGCGGCCAAATTGGCGTTGCAACGATAGTCCGAAGAGCGGACCTTATTATGATGCAATGGCGGCTTCTCGTCGTATTTTTAAATTAAAATTAAGTGGTGCCAAAATAGCAAGGAGCAGTTGAGAGTGAATATCTGGCGTCGCAACTTAATAAAAAGAATTTAAAAAAATTCTGGGAAAGTAGAAGGAGGTTAAACCCGAGGCCTACTATTCCACTCAATGTGGATGGTGTGACGGAGCCGTATGAGATTGAGAATGCTTTTAAAAATCATTTTCAGGTAGAATCCTCACCTCAGACTTGTATGGAACCGGTGCTTGAATCTAGGTCAGACGAGCAATATTGTTCACTAAGTTCATAGCAAAAGAAGCTGCCTTTGTAATTAAAAAAAAAAAGAACAGAGGAAAGTCCCCTGGGGACGATGGACTTAGTGTTGAGCACCTACGGTATGTGGGTGTGCATTTACCGTGAGTTCTTTCAATGTTTTATACGTTTTGTATGCGTCACTCGTACTTGCCTTTAGATTGTATGAAAACGGTGGCTATGCCAATAATCAAAAATAAGTCTGGAGATCCTTCTGAGAAGAGCAACTATAGGCCCATTTCATTAGCTACCATCGTGGCGAAAGTACTGAACAGTCTGCTTAATCGCACTTTGGGCAGTAATCTGAAGTTGAATAATGCACAGTTTGGACTGTCTACAGACACTGCGATACTGTGTCTAAAGCATACTGTTCGCTACTATACAGATAGAAAAATTCCAGTTCCTGTTTTCTGGACCTGTCGAAAGCCTTCGATCTGGTGACCTATGATTGCTCTGGAGTAAAATGAGGACCAAGACAAGCGTTCCAGATGAAGTAATAAACATTTTTGATTATTGGTATAAAAATCAAATAAACGTTGTGAAGTGGGCGGGAGTCGTATCTGACGAGTACAGGTTGAGGTGCGGTGTGCGACAAGGAGGATTAACCTCACCTTACCTCTTTAACTTGTATGTTAATTGACTTGTCGAGGAACTCGGCAGGGCTCAGGTCGCCTGCTCCATAGATGGTAAATTTATAAATAGCATCAATTATACAGACGACATGGTTTTACTGACTCCCTCGATAAGCGCTTTGAGAAAACTACTGAAGATATGTGAGGATTACGCTGGGGCCCATGGCCTTAGACATAATGTAAAAAAAATGAACTCATGATGTTTCAGGTCTCGTGGTCACAGGATCACCTTAGTACCACCCGCCTATTTGAATAGTGTTGAATTAAATAGAGTTTCACGATTTAAGTATCTGGGCCACTGGGTTTCGGAGAACCTCACGGATAATAAGGACGTTGAGAGAGAGCGCAGTTGCATTGGCCGTTAGAAGCAATATGTTGGCTCGCAGATTTGCACGGTGTACCTGTACCTGTTAAAAGTGATAATTTTTAAAGCGTTCTGTAGGTCAACTGTTCGCAGAAGACAATTTAGAGTTTTGCTGGGGTTGCCGCGGTACTGCAGCGCATCAGGCATGTTCGCAGAAGCTCACACGGATGGCTTTCATGCTATTCTTAGAAAGAGAGCTGCCTCGTTGCTAAGCCGTATCCGTGGTAGCTCAAATGACGTTCTTCGCGTTGTGGCTGGTAGGGTTGACTGCACAATCATGCTTCATTACATGAGACTGCATTCGCTTTCAATTTGAGGACTTGTCTTCTTTGTTTTTGAATATTGGTAGATCCTGATGGGACTACATACATAATTGCGTAACTATTATAAGAATGTAGACTGTATCTGTCTGAAATAAATGAATTTTGATTTGATTTTGATACGTCTTCATACTGATTAAGGACTCGACTAAACTATCGGCCGATGGAAAGTCGGTAGTGTGCGGGAACTCTTAAATCGTGTATTATGATGTTAGTAATTTAAAAAGAATACAAGTATAAAGTAATACACGGTAAAGTAAAATAAAATTGCTATTCCACGGGTTCTGAATAATTTATTTTTGATTTATTTATTCATTTGAGCCCGTCACGGGCGGGGCGCCAGCGCGCGCAGCTCGTGGCAGCGCCACACCCAGTCGGCGCGCACGCGGGTCCCGCCACCGCCGCCGCCCCCGCCCCCGCCCCCGCCTCCGCGCCCGCCGCCCGCCGCGCCCAGCACGAAGTCCGGTTCCGCGCCCGCCGCCGGCTGCTGCGACCACGGAAGGAAAAAAGCAATGGAAGGGTCTTAAGCCTCGACTTATCAGAACTAAAACTCACACTATTATAAAATTAAATACTACGAAATCTTGATAACGATTGCAGTTTCTCATTTATAAAGATGTAACCGATTCTGGACTAAATATAATTTAAAACTTTATCTACTTGAAATATCACTATCAAAGTTCGGTATACACGGTGACTTACGTCTGTGGGTGCAATGATATTTTATATTCACTGGGTGGTGAGTTTCTGTACCTCTATAATCGAAGTCGGGCTGCCTCAAAATTTCTTCAGGCGTCCCGCAGGGCTCTCACTTAGGCTCATTTTTATTCACAATTTAAATTAATGACGTCGGTTCTTGTGTCTCATATTTGAACGTATTGCATGTTGTGGGTAGACCAAACAGTCAGGAATAAACCAGTCTAAGCGCGACCGCCGTGTTAGATTATCGTGCCCTCGTCCTCTATACGTAACATATCATCTTGCTGTCATGACTCACGTTATCCACTTTGTGCAGGTGACACGAAGGATTTTTAAATTATTTCTACACTTGAGGATTGTCTAAAGTTGCAGTCAAATCCGCAAAGATTTGAACGTTATTGTGAAAAAAGGTTTTACGTCATAATTATAATTACTTCCTCCATACGTTATAATTACGTTCTTTTAGATAGCAAAATAAAGTGCATGAAATTAAGAGACCTCGGGGAGATACTCGATTCCAAGCTTCATTATAATATTTATATCGATAATATAATAGCTTATAAGCAACTTGGAATGATTCTTCGCCTTACTAGACCTTTCAATAAAATATTTAGCTATTGTTCAATGTAACCAAACACCTTAATGCGCAGGCCACACTGAGGCGGCCGCGGAAGCGTTCCGGACGCGGGAATTTTTGTAATGTTCTGAAGGAGCCCCCAACACGGCGTTCACATTGCTCGCCCAGAGCAAGTCCAAAATAAATTTCTTAAATCTTTAGACTACCGAACCGGACACTTCTTCGTCGAGTACGAAACGGTGTCCAAAAGGTATAATACATATATTATTTTGTAATCAACTGACGTGTTTATTTGGATGAAATTTTTCTTCATAAAATAGTGAACGGAGCTTTTATTACTACAATTGTTACGTTAATACTTTAATATTTTAAATTTTTATTGAATTGATATTTCATTATTTTTTGTGAAAAGATTCTACTAGTTTGTTATAATCATTAAAAAAATCCTTCGATCCGGCCGAATTCGAACCGACGTCTTCTAGCTTACCGTGCCAGACGCTATACCAATTGAGCCACTGAACGAAACAGCGGACCTCACGGATTTTACCATGTGCTCGCGTCGTATCTTTGTATTCGGTTTTTCAACGACTTTGAAGTCAGCTTCAGTCAGGTGAGCGCCGTCTATGCGAAATCTATGAAAGTTGAATCACCCGGCTAGAGAGCGGAGTCGTAGGAGCGCCGGGACCCACCTGCAGCACGAGGCCGCCGTAGGCGCGCACGTAGCGGCGCAGCAGCGCGGCGTCCAGGCGCGGCGGCAGCGCGCGC